TGACCAAGGAGGCCGCGACTTCCCTTCCTTTCCCACACGCTGCGTGCTCCCGTCCCCTCTGTGCTGCGTGTCCTCATCTCCCTCTTTCCGACCCCACATTACTGTGATAAGCAAGCAAGTGCTTATCAGGGATCCAGGAGACTGCTGATCTTCACGTGGCATTTTCTGGATTCCTGCCACAAAGCAGGATTTAGCCTAATACCCAAACATGAGAGGAGATGGTACTTGGGAGCTGCCCTTTCAGCACTGCGTAAACACTTGGAAGAGGGCACAGCCAGAGGACAAATTGATGCCCCTATGACTCCTGGAGCCAGGGAAGGTGTAAAGTGCATGTGCAGCATTATCAGGGGGGTTAATTACTTTTTTCCAATCCCTTTGTGGCCTTGTCCCGCCTAAGCTGGTTTCATCCATCACATTAGCCTCTTGAAGATTTTGTCTATAAAGCAAGTTCCCATACTTAGAAGCAAATTGATAGTATTTATTTGTTAATCCCTTTGCAGTGACAGACTATAAAAGGTAAATTTGTACCATTTGAGAGGCTTGCTTGCTTCTTTCCTGGTCTGGAACATTTCTAGACAAGTTTTCTGTTAAGTCTTCTCTTCAAGACCCCCATCAGAATGCTCTGCACAATATTTAAGTGTATACTTCATTAACATTATCCCTTTCCTTCCATGACCCTTTGTCTAGACCTTCTCCCTATTGCCTCCAGTTGATTGAGGTCTTTGTGCTTTTAAAGAGACCCTTGTGAAGTTCATGTAGGACTACCACAGATGTAAAACAGGCACTTCTCATTTCTAACACAGTGAAATAAACTCTCTTCCTTCTCTACCTCCCCACCCCCCCCAATTCTGAGTGCGCCCTGTTCAGATGGTCTGACCTTTAGGAGAAGAAAAATTAAAGAGACTAGGTGATCCTGGCACATTGGGTTTTTTAGTGTGTATACCAAGTTGTGATTTAACCAGAGTAGCTGATTGATGGTTTTATGGAGAAGGGAAGCCCCTGTGATAAAGGAAGCGGCCACCGTGGCCCATCCTCTGATTGAAGGGAAAGGATTGATTATGCTCAAAGGGAGAAGAGGCTGGGGGGGGGGGTGTACATTGCCATGAGATGTCAGCCTGCACAGCCGTGTGGAGAGCAAGAGCCATGAAATCTGTTCAAGGCTCCTGTCAAGAAAAAGATTATCCAGAGATGAGATCAAGCTACCACGTTAGAAATTCGGAAACTGGCATGCAGGAGGGGACAGATGAGGAAGGATAGCTGGCAACATCTTAGGCGAAGCTTGCTGGCTCACCTGCCCCCAACATGGCCCCCAGCGCTCACCCAGTAGGCCTGGCCCGGCCATCTTCAGCAACCATGGGACGCCGCAGCTCTTCAAGTTCTACCAGCCTTATAATAGAGATGCACAACAACTATCAATCAGGGAGACATTCAGTTTGGTATCTAAGAGAGATGAAAATGCTTCTAATTTCCTAGAAGGAGGATTGTTAATGGGAGAATCTGACAACAAGCTGATTTATAAACATTATACAGCATAATATTTGTGGATTCTTCATTATATATGTGGATTCTTCAGAAAGTGAACTTGGCATTTTAGATCTAATTCAAGTATTGTGAAAACATTAGACAAGTGTTTTGAAAATGTCTGTGAACTGGATTTAATTTTCCATGTAGATAAGGTTCACAGTATTCTTGCAGAAATGGTGTTGGAGAGAATGGTATTAGAAACCAGCATAAATGAGATTGTTACACAAATTGATGCACAAAATAAACTGGAGAAATCTGAGGTTGGCTTAGGAGGAGCTCCAGCCAGTGTCTATCAGCTAGAAAGAATATGAATCTTCCTGAGATCTCAAGAAATACTGACATTGATGACATCAGTATAAAAGTGCCAAACCTGCCCCCTTTTTAGTAAAAAATTAAAAAGGCTACCTCCCAGGTAAAGTTCAGGGAGGACAGTCATCCAAGTTTACCATGCAGATGTTTACAAAAAGAAAGGAGAGTCTTAACATTTACCCTTGGGTTTAAGACAAGGTACTGCATAGAAATTATGTAAAATCAGTATGTGAAGTTCAGTGTTGCTATTCTTGCTCAGTGATTTTAAAGAACTTGAATTTTTCCATGTATTTTTTTTCTTTTTTTAAACTGCATTCCTATGCCCACCTATGCCTCTTACATGTTAACTACTACAGTATTTAAGATATTTCTTTAATTGTGTATAACTCAGAATGCTGCTGTTTTGTATGGATTACAAGTACAGCATTCCTTAATTCTTGCTGCTGTTTCTCATTAATTGTTATTTTAATAATCTAAGAATGTATTGCATGAAAACATTCCGACCCTTTTCTCTTAGTTTAAATAAACTCCAGCATAACTGGGGGAGTAAAAATGATTTTTTTTTAAATTTTATTCTTTTGTGTGTGTGTACCATCAAATTGGACCTGAATGATACAGGAGGAGATTGCCCCTCCTTCTCCAGCAGAACATCTGGTGGATTCAAACAGCATACTTCTAGGATCGCAGTGCAGCTTCTTGCCACTAGGCCACCAGAGCGCCCTAAAAATGAAATTCTTAAACTGTACTGGGCTCTTATTTAATAGTCTCTCTTAGAAAACAAAGATTCTCACCACTGGGCCAATTGGCAGCATCAGTATGGATGGTGAAGAGATTGAGATAGTTAACAGTTTTCGTTTACTTGGCTCCACAGTCAACACTCTTGGTAACAGCAGCCAGGAAATCAGGAGACGAATTGCATTGGGAAAGTCAGCTATGAGAGACCTCTCAAGAGTACTGAAGAGCAATGATGTCAGGCTGGAGACTGAGGTGCGCCTGATCCAGGCTATAGTCTTTGCACTTACGTGCTATGCATCAGAGAGCTGGACGGTGAATAGGGATGATAGAAAGAGAATTGATGCCTTTGAGTTGTGGTGCTGGAGAAGAGTGTTGAATATACCATGGACTGCTAGGAGAACAAACAAGTTTGTCCCGGAGAGGGTGAAGCCAGTATGTTCCTGGAGTCAAGGATTTTGAAGCTTCATCTGGCATGTTGCAAGGAGGGTCCTTGGAGAGGGACATCATGTTTGGGAGAGTGGAGGGACAGCACAGGAGAGGAAGACCCTCGATGAGATGGATCAATTCTGTGAGTGGAGTGGTGGGAATGAATGTGTTTGAGATAGCTAGGTTGGCACAGGATAGAACGGCATTTAGGGCTCTTGTACATAGGGTCACTATGAGTCGCAAACAACTCAATGGCACATAACAACAACAACATTAGATAGACCAGCCTGATTCTTTTATTTGAAGTTGCATTATTCAGGGTAGGCAGAGGAGCTACTTAGTGTGGTAGCCATAGGGCTATTGGTCATACTCCACCCTCACATCTGTCTATTAGAGAACGACCTAATATGTCAGGACCATGGCAGGGCATCCTGACTGCATGACTTTAGATAGATGCTCAGGCTCATAAACCCAGAGGTCTCCATATCCAGAGTTCTTTATCACTTGGTACATTGTGAGTGCTGTTTTTTGTGTGCAGAGGGCAATGTGGAGAAGGTTTCTCTGTAGTATAATCAGAAAACAGTAGTTATGATTATACTGCCCAAAATTCATTTGATGAATATTACTTTCTACATCACTTTTTCATTTTCCTTTCTGTTGATGATTAGGGACACATAATGACAAAGATAGTTCATCCTTATAGATTCAAATGGCTAAGACTAGGAGGGAAAACAACATAGTAACAGCCTCCACTTTACAAATTCTCAATTTCCTGTCCTTTTTTTTTATTTGTTGTGTGCCTTCAAATCAGATCCGACTGGCACAGGAGGAGATTGCCCCTCCTTCTCCAGCAGAGCATCTGGTGGATTTGAACTGTGTGCCTTCGGGATTGCAGTGCAGCTTCTTGCCACTAGGCCGCCAGAGCTCCCAAATTTCTTGTCCTTTTAATAGGGCCCCAATAACCTTTTTTTAAAACCCCAGATAGGTTTAGGAGCCTGGTAAAAATAAAAATAATAATGTTACCATTTATGAGCTTGCCCTGCCAGGCATTTTATATACATCATCTCTTTTAATTTCCCCAATGATTTAAATGTGAGTATTGTCTCTTTTTAAGTGGTGAAGTCTCAAGCAGTTATTTGGTGGTCTCTAGGACTCAGCCCCAGGTGATTCTGTCTCTCAGGTCCATGCCCTTACTTCCTCCACGGTCTTACTTCTTTCTGGCTAATGTTCCTCCTGGAATTCTTGTGAGTTAATAGACAGACCTAAGCTGCCCCCAAGAAAATATTAACTTTGGCAAGATGTTGAAAGAAAAACTCTCCCTTCAAGAAATGGAAATTATTCATTGAAGGGTGATTTATATAAGCTAGAAAGAAAGCGTGTACCCATGTGTTCAAGATTCCCCTCTGCCCTGCTCCTTACATCTTACTGCACCTTTTAGATTTCCTTAACAATAGCAGTTTTAACATTGCTTTTAATTAGAAGAATTAAAAATGTTCTCTGATGTTATCACCCCCTTCCGCCCCCCTATCACCTCCAATTCCCCATTGCTTTGAAGCACTTTAATTTCCATAGCAACAGGACTCCCAGTCTAAGTTGGCTCTCCCTGGTTGGTCTGGCCAAAGGGAAGTTAGGGACAGTCCTTCCTGGTTTTCTGGGCTCTAGACAGGCTTTACAGGGGATTACCCTGAAAGCAGTGACGTTAGAGGTACTCAAAGACTCTAAGAAGAGTGCCGCTGAGCTTCATGTACAATAGTCCATGGATGCCCCTATTAATTCTTAAAGAGCCCAGCTTCTCACCAAAACAAGAGGGTCCTCCCCTCTGCTACCCCAGGTTTCCAGACAAATGTCAAACCAGTTTAGCCACCACCGCCCCTCTGGTAGATCACCTGCTAGAAGCAACAGAATGAACTTTGGTTTTCCCTGGATTATTTTGTTTTTGGTAACATTGTTTTTCTTCCTCTACCCTCCCCAAATTCTCTTTTCTTTCTCCTTTCTTGCCCATCCAGAGAGTTTTCAATGTCCTTTACCCCATGCCTGCCGACCAGCGGAGACACGTCAGCATCAACTCTGCCCGCTGGCTGCCGGAGCCAGGGCTTGGACTGGCCTATGGTACCAACAAAGGAGACCTGGTGATCTGCCGACCAGAGTGAGTGGCAGTGTGTGTGTGTGTGTGTGTGTGTGTGTGTGTGTGTGTGTGTACACCACATACATGCACGCGCGTGTGTTGGGGGCAGGGTCATTCAGTTAAAGACTAGACATTGCTGGGCCTGGCCAGAGTGAGTGGCGCAGGTGTGTGTGTGTGTGTGTGTGTGTGTGTGTGTGTACACATACATGCACATGCGTGTGTTGGGGGGCAGGGTCATTCAGTTAAAGACTAGACATTGCTGGGCCTGGCTAGTGAGCTCATGTTTTAGATGGGAAGTCAAAAACCCTGTAGCAGGAAGCTCTGGTGGCCTAGTGGCAAGAAGCTGTGCTGCAATCCCGAAGGCAAACAATTCTAATCCACCAGGTGCTCCGCTGGAGAAGGATGGACAATCCAATCTCCTTCTGTGACAGTCAGATCTGACAGTACAGAACAAGAAAAAAAAAAACAACCCTGCTAGAGTCTGCCTCACATCACTCCTTAAACGGTTCTCTTCACTGAAGGGCTGGTGTGGTAAGCCCTCTAGTCCAGACACCTTCAAAGGGCTGGCTTAGTTACTGTCTTCTTGAATCCGAGACAGTGGGTTTTCTCCCTTGTTCTCTGGTATCCTAGTGATTGTCTTGTTTCCCTGCAGACAGAAGCATTGATATCAAAGATTGTTTTTTTTTAAAATCCAACAGGTGGTCTTAGGCTTGTGTAAACAGCAGAGACATTAATTTAAAAAATAAAATTGGAAGAAGACTATTGTGCAAACCTTAATTTGTCAAGCCACTGATCTCTAACGGTGTCCTGTCTATGTCCTGCCTGTTTTTCTTTCTATGTGAGGCTTCAGCTCATCTTAGTGAAGGCAAAATAAAAGGAAGCATAGTTTAAAATCAAAATGATTCTTCTTGAAGTATGGGGAAGGAGAAGACAAAGGACCGAAGCATTTGTTACTCAATTCCTGCTGCCACCCCTGTCCCTTCCCCTGGCTTTCTGGGAGGGAAAGGTCTCTCCAGGATCCTGGGAGCCAGCCAGGTTTGCCATCAATTTCCAGACCCAGCCAGGTAGGGAGTATGCAGCTCTGTGCTTCAGTGCCGATCAGGCTGATTGCTACGGAGGGCACCACGGGGTTCCTGCCGACTAAATGCCACTTCTGCCTCCAGGCCATCTGAATGCTTTCACTTGCCGCACACTCTTCTCCTGGGGTGTTCTGCAGCTTACAGAACATGGTGTGATTTGTCTGGTGGGGTCACTAGCAATTGGGAGTCTCCATGATACCTTTTCATAGGGACCTTAGCTGTCCTTAGAGTAGGTATTTGGATTTGTTTTTGGGTCTGAGTAAGTGACTGGTGTCTGAACTCTTAGCAGCTAGTTATATTAGGACAGGAGAAGGAATACATAGTTCTAAAGGCAGCTTTTTAATCCTACCTTGGATTTTCCGGGTTCCACCCAAAAAGAGTCTTGTATCAGCCAGGACTGGGCAGGCTGCTCTTAGAGTGAAGAGATTGTTGTGCTGGTCCGCCACGTTCCTCCTGGAGTCTGTCTAGTGAAACTCCTTCATGTCTGCTCATGCCTTTTCAGACACACAGCCTGCCTCCTTCAAAGTGTGCCACCATTAGCTCAGGTGCTTAGTCTGTCAGTGTCTGTCTGAGGATCAGTCTCCTCTGAAATATTTCTTTCCCAAAATATGTAACACTGATTGTCCTCCCCTTCCTCTTTGCTTGGAAATTTGTAAGAAGCTCCAATCGCCATATTTTCCCCAGACTGACAGAATTCTGAACATGGTTTTGGCTTTGACCAGCAGTTATTTTGAAGCCTTTCTGTCTCTGTTTTGCTGCACTCTGAAGAAGTGTAGTTTTGTTTACGGCTGTAACCAGTAATGTTTGTCCCAGTCAAACTCACAGTCCCCACCCTTATAGACGAGATCTGCTCCTATGGAGGCAGGCTCTCTAAACCCAGATTGTCATGGCCACACAGCAGACCCAGCCTACATACTTGATGTGAGTCACAGGCACCTCAGCCAACATGAAGCTGGCTTTGGCCTCCATTTTCTCGTTCTCCCCATATGTCATCGTCGGCATCACAAAATCTCAGCAGGCCCCAGCTGTCTTGGACTGCCTAGGGACTCTTACCCAGGAACTGGAGCCCCCTTGATGAGTCAGCTGGCACGAGCATTTGACACATCAGCAGTGTTCCATCACAGACTAAGTGTTGTCGAACTCTGATAGAACTAGTCCAAACTGACTTTTTTGGTGTTACTGTTCCTCCTGACTTCTTCGTGGGTCTAGTTAACAAGTGCCCCAAACCTTACAACCAGAGTTTCAGTGGTGGTATATAAATTAAGATGAGCATGACTTTGCTCCAAGTTGCTTCCTCAGTTCTCAGTCATCGTCCTATCTGTGCAGGGTTTCTGTTGTTGTCTGCTGTAGGTAGAGGAGCTGTGGGCAGTATAAGGAGAGGAAGTTAAGGCTCAGCCTGGGTGTCTCAGCTTACCATGACAGAGCTCAGCTTCCTAACTCTCCAGTTGAACTGTAAGTGATCCTTAACTTTTTTTTTTTTAAATCAAAAGCCCCTTTAAAATTCTGATGAAAACAGTAGATTTTCTTCTCCCCAAAAAATACACCATACACATAGAATTTCATAACTGTTTAGGTCAAGTGCTTCAGGTGTAGAACTTCTGATCTAGAGCGATGCTGCTTAGATATTTAACTGGATAGGTAACCGACTCAATGGAAAGTGAGAGGGTGTTCATCTTTCGAACAACCTCTGATGGGTCTCTGGCTCAGAGAGGGAGAACAAATAGGGACATGGGAGCCCAGGGTTTTGTTGTCTCTTTAGTAGGCAGCTGCCTATCCCTGTGTGACGCAGCTCCCTGGCACACCCATTCCCAAGGGCACAGGATGCAGCCAGCCAGCTGGGCCAAGATTACAGCCCTCCCTCTAGAGCAGGTGGTTGTCTGCCTTTGTCCCAGGCACAGACAACTGCACCTCATCTGTGCTCTCCATCCTGCTCATGATTTCTCCTCCATTGTCTTTGCCTTAGCGCACTCTCCAAGCACAAAGGCAGAAGGAACCAGTCTCCTGAGACAAATGCATATTTTTTTGTTTGTACTAAACCCCTATATACCATTGCCTTGACAGTTCAAAAAGGCCCAAGATATCACTCCTCTCTCCAGGGGCAGAAATTCTCTTAGTAAGCGAACCCCAGCTGGCCCTTTAGCCTCTATGTATACAGAGCTATTAAAGTAGCTGGTCACTTGACCTTTCCCAATAAGCGAGGTGCCCCTTTCTCCTTTACTTTGCCCTCCCCGCTCTCCATTCCTCACATGTGGCTACTGTGCTTCTGGCTGACCGCCAGCCCAGCCCACACCCCCACAGATAACCATATTGCATGTGAAGTACTAGATTAGTATAAGGGGATGCATGCTCACTTCCGGCGTCATAGCTCAGCCCTATAATGGTAGGGGGAGAAGGAGGATGGAATTGAGATACGAATATCAGAAGAGAAGTAGGCTGGGACTGTGGGACATCTGGCCCTTTGGCCAAGCATTGGACTCCTGACAAGATTTCAACTCTGCCCATTTGGAGGAATCCACTACAACTAAAACTGTAAACAGTAATTATAATCAAACATCTTTGACCAAGGAAGGTCAGGGCACACCTCTGAATGAAAAGGGGAGCCAGGATCGCCAGAGACCACATCTTTCAGACTAACCCACACACGCCAGGTGCCTGCTCTCTCCCACATCTGCAGAGACGTGAATGCCAGTCATTTTGGAAACAGCCCTTTTTTATATGGAGGCAGCTTGGTAGTCTGAGCTACTTCAAGCATGTAACTGAGTAGATGAAAGAAGAATGTTCTCAAAGCTAAAGTTGAGGAACAGAAACTCCGTGGTGAAGTCATCATGATCACGAAGGAAGCCAAGGTGGTTCTTCATATGTGTGGGGAGTCCAGGAAGCCCCGGTGGTGGGGAAGTCTTTGAGCCAGCCCAAACACAGCTCACAGATGCTTCTGAGGGAAATCTTTTTGAAAAGTCTAACCTGCTTGGCCTCCCTCCTCTCCTTCCAACCTTTATGTTTGCCCAACTCTCAGGGAGAACCCTGATCAAACAGTGGTGCTTTCATCTCCAGACTCAAGAAGGAAGGAGACAGTGGGGACCATTCTTTAGTTTACAGACAAGAGATCAGAGGTGTTGGGTATTGAAGGCTGAGGGTCTCAATAGCCCGGGCAGATGTCTTCAATTATTTTCTTTGGTATAACACCTGGAATTTAAACCAAACCTGACTGCTTGTTATAGTCAAGTCACTGTGACTACAGAAAGAGCAAATTAGGGTTTAGGATTGGGCCTGTTGGCAAAGCAGGAGGATGGAGTGATGGCGAAAGTGGAGCAGTACATTTGATAGAGGACCCATCAACCACGATCTGCTTGGCAGATGACTGCTTTACTAAGCAGCCGGGCATACTGCTCAGATAGATGGTGCAGAGCCCAGTGGCTACCAGCATTGCATTGGCACTCCCAGTCCCAGCAGTATGCTTTCTGGTGGGCTCTTCCCTGAGCTAGAAAGGGAGGTTCCTGGTTATGCAATGTGTACTTTGTTGTAGATTTGCTGTCATTAAACAGCCCTGGCTAGTAAGAATTTACAGAGGTGGGATTTGACAGGGGTCCATGTGGTGTTACCATCTATCAATAAACCTTGTAAATCAGAGCTGGCAGCTGGCTTCACGTGGTGCCTAACAACCAGTTTGTACACCGTAAATTGCAACAATGACACTGTGTTTTGATTGCTTCTACCATTGCGGGCCACTTGACTCCTGGCCATTTGCTGCTGCTTCTTGTTCTGAGGTAGCTCTTAACCCCTGATAGAGGATTTGGGAGGTGGAAATGCTACTTACTGAAGAGGGAGACTAACAAAGACCATAACAGATCTGCAGCCCAGCAAGCTCTCTAGACTTCAAACAGAGAGGAAAGGAAGGGCCCTTTTGGAGTGACTCTTTATCCTCAAAAACTATGGCCCAGAATTTGGTAACCCTTGGAAGACAAATTTAGGAGTCAATATTGAGGTCCCAGGTGTTCAAATAGCTAAACTCAATTGCCAGTAGTTGAAATCCACCCACAGGCCTCTTGGATGACAGGCCTGGTGGTTCACTTCTGAAAGGCAACAACAACCTTGAAAACCCTGTTGGAGCCATTTTCTTCTGCACACATGGGTCTGCTGAACAATGAGTAACAAATCCCTGGCCTGCTTTCCTTCCACTTGAGCTAGTCCAACTCCTGTGATGCACTGGCCCTCTTCCCTCATCCAAGCTCCTCATATGTTGGAAAGAAACACATTCTCCCAACTTTGTTTTTTCTTCTTCATCTTTTAGTAGTTTAATGACCCTTTAACAGAAATACCACAAATAGGTGACTCTTACTGTTTAGGAGGCCAGAGTCTAAATTCAGGGTGATGGCTTTAGGGAAAAAGCTTTCTTACTCTTCTCTGTGTCTCTCTCTCTCTTTTTCCATCTTTCAGTCTCTTATTTGTCCATCTCTCTCTGTTGCCTCTGGAGGAAAGTCGTCGTCTCTTCTGAGCTTCTGATTCTGGGCAGTCTTCAAGTGGCTTCGCAGCCCTCTTTCTTCCTCTTCACTTCCTGGCTTCCTCTTTAAATCTCTTTCGCACTTTAAATAAGACTAACTCACAACATCCTGTGCAGATCTTGTCTCCTTAAAATAGTAAATACATCCCCTTCCCAAACAGGACAATAACCACAGGCATAGCAATTAAGATTTACAACACTTATTTGGAGACAAGGGACCCAATCTAGTTCGTTAACACTTGGCTTGTCCCTTATCAAAGTAAGTTCTGTCGTTAAAGGAAAGTAACCGATGCATTGGGATTAAGAAGTTCGCTAATTGGAACTCTTCAAGCTCATGCCTGGCCTGCTTGGTCAGGAGTGTCTCTGAGCATCTCCACATGCACTCCAGAGATCCAGTCAGCGGGTCTGCTTCCTGCACCAACACCACACCCTCGACCTTGTTGACCAGTCCTAGGCCACGATCTCTGACTGCGATGGCAAATCAGATTATAAAGATGGGAGGATGCTCCTTCTTTCCGGCAGCTGTGCCGGTATGAGATGGGAAGGAACACCTTGCTTGCCTTTTGCAGGGAGAGAGGAAACCAGCCAGAGGGTTGGTAGCCCAAAGAACTTGGTAGAGGAAGCCCCACTGAGCAGCCGGTACTGCAGCCTGCCACCACTTGACAGTCCCTCCTTCCTGCTCCCTTAAGTTTCTGAACACTCACAGGTCTTCTGGAATTCTGATAGCATCTTTCCTTGTTGCTTATCCAGCAGACCCTGGCAAAGGAGGATCTAGGTTCAGGGCAGGGAGGGGAGAGGGATGTTTCATCCTGGCTTTTTCTCCTTATACTTGAGTTCCAGGCACATTAGGAATGGCATGGTGCCCTCATTCTTTTCCCTCAGTCCTATGGTAAGACCGTGGAAGACCCAGCAACAGGAACCTGTGCTCTTTGTTTCTCAGGCCTCTGTTTCTGATGACTCAGCACACCGTTTCGCACCAGTGTCCAGTTCACTTGTCTTACCAGTGGACCTCTTTCCTGCCTCTTACCTACCGTCTTAGTTCCTGTTTCCATGTCTTTAGAATATCCAAAAGCCACTGTCTGCATCTGGTGATACTTAAACCCAAGAAGGCACTAGTAGACTTTGTCGCAAGGAAAGAAAGCTCTAAAAGCACCACCACAGGCACTTGGGCCATTAGTGACTTACCAGAGTTGCTCCAGCACTGCGCATCCTAATGGAGTCTCTCTGGTCCCAGCCCAGCTCCAGGAGGGAAAGAAGGGATTCCATGCTACTGTCCACCAAGCCCAGAACCTTTCCTACTCGTCGTTGTCCCCTGTCTCATGCCTTTCACTTTTTCTTCTCTGTTCTTCCACACTTTCTAGGGCCTTAAACACTGGGATTGAGTACTACTGGGACCAGCTGAGCGAGACTGTCTTCACTGTCCACTCCAGCAGCCGGAGCAGTGAGCGGCCTGGGTAAGCTGGTGAAGTGATGTTCCTGGGCTGTGCCTTGGCCCACGGGCTCCTCAGCTCTAGCCAGTGCAGCTTCTCCTTGACTTGGCTCAGGTGTTGAGCTTTTGCCTGTAATTCCATTTGTTATCGTGTACCATAGAGGAGAGAAGAGAACAAAACCACTGCTTCCTCTGAATAAGCTAGGACACTCTCTGCTCTTCCCGTCCTAGCCCTGGGATGAGCTTGAGGTGAGGAGAGAAACACCTGAGAGAAAGATGTTGCTTCCAGGAAAAATCTGCAGAGAGATCTTAGATGGCTGGGGCCTCAGGGACAAAGCTGGAGCCAAGGGACACACTCCTCTTTAGGGGCCAGTTAGCAAGTAGGAATCTGATATTGATCCTCTTATCATATAACTCACTAATGAAGGTGGTAAACCCAGGGTTGTCACCACTTCCTATAAAAATTGAGTACTGTAGTTGGTTTCCAAAGATCAGTGCCTGGGAAATGGCCAAGAAGTAGGTGCCAGCCTTGGTACCTCTTAGAACAACTTACGTGCTCCACCTGCAGGGTTGTTAAGAAGCCCTGGATGGTGGAGTCCAGGACTGCCCGGTGCTTTTCTTCTGTCCAGATTTCAGACCACTTAGGAATATAAAGACCCATCAACCTCTCTTAGCACATGCAGTTAGAATGTCAGTATGTAGTTAGAAAGTGGGTAAAGAAAACACAAAATTACTTTCCTCCAGTGCACAGTCCCGCTGCCACAGATCTCAGTGACCTCCTGAATCCGAGTCTTTTTAAAAGATCTGCCATCTCTACTTCGCAAAAGACCTTTGTGTAAAGAAATGACTGAGCTGGCTAGACTTGCAAAATCAGATGGTTCTGCAACCTCCTGCATATCCCAGAGCATGGGCCAATCTCCACATGAAATGAGCATGGCACCCCAAGGCATCAGGGACCAGCAGAGCACTGTGAGGGGAGCTAGCCCAGTCGTGCCTGACATCCATCTGCCTTTCTCTCCCTAGAACAAGCAGAGCCACATGGAGAACAGACAGAGACATGGGTCTCATGAATGCGATTGGGCTGCAGCCTCGGAACCCCACAACCTCAGTGACATCTCAGGGCACCCAGACTCTGGCCCTTCAACTTCAGAATGCTGAAACACAGACCGAGAGGGAGGTCCAGGAGCCAGGGGCAGCAGCCTCAGGGCCTGGAGATGGTAAGAACCTTCATTCCTAGAAGAATCTGTAGGGACTGAGTGGGTGGGAGGACACGAGGCCCCTCAGCATAGACAGGTGACCAAGAAAGTGCACCCTGTCAGAACGAGTCCCCTTACGTCTCTGTAGTGCCCACCCAATGGTGGCACATCAGGAAGAAACATCGTTTTTTCTGAGCTAGTCCGCTGTTCCTTTCTCAGCTGCTCTCCAAGTTCCGCTCAACTCCCGCTCAGTACTCTGACCTCCCGTCCCCTCAACTTTGGAGGACATGGACTAATTTTCTAAAGGAGCAGCACAGGAAATGGACAAGACTGAAAGGCCTTTAGTAGCAACCTGGCTGCATGTTCTCCTTTCAAGAGAAGCGCATCCCGGGCCTTGGGCTGCCACTGGTGAGCCCTTCGTACACTCCTATTGCCACCCCTGGTTCATACCACCTTGGTTGTGGCCTGCCACATCAGCAGCCCCTTCCTCTCACCTATTTCTCAGGGTGGCTCATCCAGCTTTGGCCCCCTCTCTGTACTGGCCTCACACTTCTAAGAACCAATTAGCACTTCCCAGCAGTAGAGCTCCAACCACCACTGGAGTCTGTCAGCAGTCGCGCTAAACAGGCTGTTCTCGCTCAGTCACTCTCTTTATCCCCTGCCCAGCCCCCTTGCTGCTTCCAGTTCCAAGCAATGCAGCCTCCAGTAGACGCACATTTTCCATGTCTCTTTTGAGTCATTTGCTCAGCAAGGACCATGGGAAGAGAAGCTGTGGTAGGCATCAGGCTAAGAGCAACACATTTGCCTGTGCCATCCCCAGGGACAGGTGTCCACACTGCAGCCCCTCTTGGACTTCTCATGGATCCAAACTAAAATTGTGTCCTCTTTTGGTCTGTGACTCAGCCTGCTCCCAAACAGGCCCATGACTTTGCTGGACAGCATCCTCCTTGGTGTGCACATAAGCTATCAGTGCCTAACTGAGGCAGTCAGTTGCAGCCTTTAGTCTTGGTAAGGAAGAAAGTTGAAGGCTGATTCTGCCGTCAGGCCTGTATCTCCAGGTTCCTGTGGGCTTGGAGCAGCCTTGGAGCTTGCAGGTCTGACATGTTGGGGACAGAAGGCAGCCTCATAGGGGGCTCCTCCTGGGTTCTCCTGGAGTCAGAGTACTTGGACTCCTCACCAGCAGCAGATCGGTAGCCTGAGCCTACCCAGTGAGCTATCCCCAGTTAGCACAGGGGATTCAGAGAGGCGAGCTTGAGTCAGCCGCCTCTGGCGTGATCTCAAAGCCATTTACTGTGTCTCCATGTGCCAGCCACTGGACTGGAGACACAAATAGGTCTCCATCCTTCTTCAAAGGAGTTCTCAGTGTAGAGAGGAGGACAGATACCTGAACAGAAAAATCATCTGATGAGAACACAGCCTGTATGAGCACACAAGGCTGGGCTGTGCCTTTTTAGATGAACCCTGAGTGGATCCTAGAGGATGAGTAGGAGTTAGGCAGTTGAGTGGACAGAGTGAGCAGCTTTCCTGGCAGCGTGACAGCACTGGCATGAGCACCGAGCTCAAAAGCATCACAGCATGGGAACTGCCAGCAGGTATCTGTCTCCGGCATGTATGGTAGATTGAGCATCACAGCTGAGAGGGCCAGGTGGCAGAACACAGCATGGGAGAGACCTGTGTCCTGTAAGAGGACAGGAGCTGGCACATGAGAGGAAGGGCATCCATGTTCTATCAGGGAATTCTCTCTTTTTTCTTTTTTTTCGAGGTTTCTTGTGACGTTTTTGAGAATATACCCAACTAAACATACGCCACAGAGCTCTGGTGGCCTAATTGATAAGAGCTTGTGCTGCCAACCCAGAGGTGATGACTCTGGCAGTTCACGGCCTGTGAAAACCCACCAGAAGGTCAGCTGAGTCGGTTCCAACTCTCCGACAAGTTAGCATGATTAAGCCTGCCCATGGCGGCAGTTTCTATCGCTTGCATTTCTTGAGTTAGGCAGCCATTCCCACCTTTCTTTTCTTGAATTGTTACTGCTTTTTTTTGGGGGGGGGGTGATTTTATTGTTGGGTGTTGTGGGTTTTTTTATTAATTTTAATGAAAGTTTAGAGACTTAGGGTTTCCATTCATTCATTGTTGCACTTTTCTCCCTGCCCACCCCCTTGCCCCCCTCAGTTCCCTCTTCTTTTTGAAAAGTAAAAGAAAAATTACTTCGTTCTTATACAGTCCCTCCCCCCAAGTCCACTGCACTGTGCAGCCTTCCTTCTGGACTCCTGTTATGACAATAATATCTAATCATATATCCCTTCTAAACAGCTCTCTCCCTCATCTGTTTCAATGTAGTATACATTATTTATCACCTCAGTTATTTCTCAGTCTTCCCTCAACCCTGATGTCAGTCCATTTTATAGCAGTGGCCCTGTGCAATATTTGTCCTTTTGTGACTGAGATATTTAATCAGCATAATGTCCTCCAGGGTCATCCATTTTATATAATAATTCATGAGTTCCTTGTTTTTCAATGCAGCATAGTATTCCATTGTGTGACTATACCACAGCTTCTCTATCCATTTGTTTGTTGATGGGCACTTAGGTTGTTTCCAACTCTTTGCTATTGTGAACAAAGCCACAGTAAACATGGGTGTGCATATATCTGCTTAGGTGGCGGTTATGGGTTTTTTAGGGTATATTTCCAGTAGTGGAATTACTGGGTCAAACGGTATTTCTATTTCCAACTTTTTGAGAAAGCGCCATACACCTTCCATAGTGGTTGCACCATTTTACACTCCCACCAGCAGTGAATAAGGGTTCAGGTTTCTCCACAACCTCGCCAGCATTTGATATTTGCTATTATGTTAAATTTTGCTATTCTTACTGGGGTGAGATGATATCTCATAGTTGTTTTGATTCGTATCTCTCTTAGAGCTAGGGATTTTGAACATTTCTTCATGTACTTGTTGGCCATCTGAATGTCTTTTGGTGAAGTGTTTGTTCATATCATGTAACCATTTTTCAGTTGGGTTGTTTACCTTTATTTATCTTGTTGTGGTGCTCGAGTATTTTATAAATTCTAGATATAAATCCCTTGTCTGACATGTCATTACCAAATATTTTTTCCCAATCTGTGGCTTCCATTTTTACCCTGTTGGAGGTTTTGGATGTGCATGAGTTGTTACTGCTTTTTAAAAAATTTTTCTGTTAGCATCAAACCCATTTCTGGCCGCTAGTCAATAAGTTACTTTCTCTTGTTTGGGAGGCAGGAGGGTGGGAGCCCTCTCCCAGTTAAGAAGCCACAGTAGGACAGGTAGTGAAGAGTGGTGATTTGTCAAAGGCTAGTAGTGCCCCTCAGCTGGACAGTGATGGTCTGGAGTCTGGGCAGGGCAGGGCAGGTGACTTTTACTCAGCATCTTCCTAGAAATCATGCCTAGAGCCTTGGGCTTCAGATTTCCAAGTATCATAGTCCCTTTCAGAAAGCTCCACTCCTAGAAATATGTGTGTAGGTGTGAGTTGGAGAGAGTGTGGGGATTGACACCGCCAGCCTGTGTGAGGTGCCTGCCCCACTAACTACCAGCCACTCCTCTGAGTGCCAGGCTCCTCTTGGGCTCAGACCGTCCGCCCCAAGTTTCCCCATCCAGCAGGCAGTTCAGCACTACCACCTCCTCTCCACCTCCTGCCTCAGCGCCTTGTCGTGGTGAAGCTAGTAGCCAGATCAGTAAGAACATGTGTAGGGAAACACTGATCAAAGAAATGAACTCTCCTTCCAGGCTTAGCCACCCAGATGAGCATGTGTGTGCCTTTGTACAGGGACATGTGTGAGTGGCCACCCGTGTACACACGCACATGCACACACGTAGATTTACCATATGTTGTACTTCCAGCTCTGTGGACTTCCCTCCCTTAGCCCCTTCCTGTCAGCCAACATCAGAGAATTCCCAGGCCACTTCACTTTTTCTTATTTTATAAAAAATATGTTAAAATCCATATAGCTCCTTTCCACAAGGGCCTTTGCAGATGTATTGCCATTATCACCTGTTCAGCCTTAACTAAAATGCTTGCCCCTCTCCAGAGTTTGCCCTGGGCCCAGCATCAAGCTTTCCTCCACCTGCTGGCCAGGAAGGTCCTCACAGGACTGGGGCACTCCCTAGGCTTCCTTCGCTGTTGCTCTTAGCTTTTTCAACATCTCTTCATTTATCCTCTCCAGTGAATGGTGAGGGGCCCACTGGATCCCTGTCTACTCCCAGCCCTGTACCAGTAAGCATCCAAGAAACATGTGGATTGAATGACTTGAGCTGCAGTGAGGCCCTGATGCAGAAGTTGGCCATACCACACTATTCAAAGAGCCCATGGCTCTGCCTCTCAGCACTAAGGAAAGGCTGTGTGGGCCTCCACCTTGGTTAGTGAAGGAACACTTAGACCAGTTGCAATAGCCAGTACTGGGCCCAGGGGAAAGCCAATGAGAAAAGGAAGGAGCTGGAAACCAGTATGTGGCCTGAGGTCAGGAAGAGCTTTGGTTACATGTGCTGTGAAACCCCAGAATTAAATACAGACACCAAGCAGACTTTGCCTCACGTCCTTTGTGCTTGTTGCTAGGAGGGACCATTCCTTGGAGAAAGATATGATGCTGGGAAGGGTGATGGGTCAGTGAAGGAGAGGAAGACCTTCAACCAGATGGCTGTAACCTCAACATGGTGGTGGCTTCAGTGGGCTCTTGTGTGTCTTGTGGAATGTGATGACAGGAATAGAGCAGGGTTCATATCTTTTGTTCAAAGGGTTGCTATGTGTCATACTCTACTCAGCGTCACCTAACAACAAAAACCACCGAGCAACTGTGGGAAGTTGCTAAACTTACACTGGCTTCTGCATCCAAAATGTAACTTAAAACTTTTCAAGGAAAAGAGCACTTGTCAATATTAAATCAGTGTCCCTTTTTCCAAAGAGAAATGCTGCTGGGAAGGAGGGAGCAGAATTGATCTCATCGGTGGTGACCGCAGCTCCTGGAGCTAATAGCTCAAGTCCCTGGCCATGGTTGCCGTTTCCCTCGGGTCTGTGGCTTTCCCAGAACAGACTGGCTGCCCTCACTGGCTCTTGTCTTGACTTGGAGTTCCAGGAGAGAAGTGAGGTCTAGGCTGCGGCTCCTGACATACAGCCTCAGGTCTGACACAGCCCCGGAAGTGATGTACAGGCCCGGGGACACCATGCAGGGAACACTCCGGACTGATCCATCAGTCTCTTCTGAGCACTTTCTTCACCTCCGGTGTTAGTTACACTAAGTATGTGAATCTTGTAATGTTGCAGAGGGAACCAGAATCAAAGGAATTCCTTTTCCCATAAACTAAGTCCAGAAAGGAAGGAAATGTATTACATGTTTCTCCCCCAGCAGGGGGTGGCATAGGACCCAGCTCCAGGCGTTCCCTGGGGCTGCTGTGAGCACTGTGGGAGCCCTTTGCCAATTCACTTGACAGGTGTTCACCAAGTACACTACCAGACCAAAAGGTGAGTGAACAAAGGTGTATGCTCCTTCGGCGGTACGCAGCCCAGCAGGGAGATGCTGGGGCCTAGAGGAGGAACAGCCACTGTGCTGGGGGCTCCTGAGACTTGGTGGAAGAACTGGTGCTCACATTGGCCCTTGAACATCAGCAACTTGAGACAGAAGGAGGTGGGACACGGACGTGCTAGACAGAGCAGGCCAGGCCCACGCTAAGAGCGAGGCTGCTGTTGGGGGGTTACTGGGGGTCCGAAGAGCGAGCACTCCGAGCAGCATGGTGAGAAAATAACTGGGACAGGATCTGAGATCAGTGATAGTGACAGTGTGGAGACTGATGGAAAGGAATAAGATTAGCAGCTAGGAAACTTTGACACTTGATGGGGAGAAGTAGGCAAGACCAAGCCATCAAGTGACGGGAGAAGACAGGAGACTTCAATTCAGGTGCCAGCAGCAGAGCCTCTCCAGGAGTTTGGCTCTGGCAGCTCCTGTAGGGCACCAAGGCTGTCCTGCCCTAAATGTCCTACTTGAACAGAGCTAGGAGCTTCCCAGGCATCATGCCCAACAGAGCTCCAGGCCAACGGGCTACAGGCCAGCCCCGCACATCCCAGACTGGGCTGGGCTCTCTTCATTGCTCAGGGTTCTTGGAAAGCAAGGGGGTAGGGGGTGGCTGAGAGCTCAGTGAAGTCCCTGTGGGGAATTGGGCTGTGCTGACATTGAGGCCTGAGTTGACACTCGTACCCCAATTCCCACCGTGTCCCCAGGAAACTTTTAACCTAAGAGAAGGCAGATTTTCTTTCCTCCTGCCCTGAGCTCTGGAACTAAGCTGGCTGGAGGGGGCAAGGTCACAGTCCATACTGGGCTCTGACCCAGACCCCACTGCTCAGTGCTAAGGAGAAACATTTCCCCAGTACCTGGGAAGAACCACTGGCCTGAAGCACCCAGGCACCAACAAGGAGGTGTGCAGTGGTGAGGATGTGGGCCTGGCTGGCCTGGAAGTCCAGGCAAAGAAGAGAGACCAGAAAGAGGTAGATAAACGAGCCCTTGACAGCTGTAGCCCAAAAAGGGAAAATTCACTACCACTTGCCCTAACATTACAAAATTCCGGACTGACCAACAAGTAACCCAGGGAAGCAAGTCAGTAATTGAGCAGGCCCAGTCCTGGCCCCTGGTAGCCTTTGGCACAACCAGCCACAGACCTGGACTGTTACCACCCTACTGAGCTAGTAGCCAAAGGGGCTGAGCCGTGGGCTGGAGACTGGGTTCATGGCACAGCTGTAAGCCCTGAGTTAACGCCTGCAGCCCCCCTGAGGGCCCAGAATGCACTGTGTCACCTCTGCCTGGCACTTGTCTAAGGTCACACATCTCTAAAATAACATAACTGAGATTTGAGCTAAAGCCGTGTCTGCTGCCCACAGGGGAATGTTGTGGTGGCCAGCCCTTGCGGGAGGTGGAGCTGTAGACCTAATTGGGCCTCTAGAAAAAGAAGAAGGGATCTGGCATCCAGTCCCATAAGAAGAATATGTGGGAATAACTTTGGGCCAACCTCTCTCCTTGCAAAGACCAGGCAGCATACCTTGAAGAGGTAGTCTAGCAGGTCACTCAAGGTGGGGAGAAGCTGGCCAAAGGCTGCGTGGGCTCACCTCACTGCCTTAGCCTTCTCTCCGAGGCCAGCCGCCAGTGCTGCAAGGGTTCACTCAAGCCAGGCACATGCCTTCCAGTCCCAGCTCTGCCGGCTCACACCACCCTGCAGCCATTGTTTTGGGTCAGTTCTGACTCCTGGCAACCCATGTGTCCAAGGAGAGCTGATTCGGTAGGGTTTAACTGGGGCTGTGATTTTTCAGAACTATTTCTCTAGGCTCTTCATGCATGGTACCTCTGGGTAGCCTCAAACCTCCAGCCTTTCAGGTTGCATTTAACTATTTGTTGACACCCAGGGGGATACCCACACCATCCTAGGCTGTCACGCTTCAGGAAAACAGGGTGAATTTTTGTTTTGGAGTCTCATCAGAAAGTCTTTGGTTATGAGTGATGAATTTGGGACATTGCTTTTCCTGCATTTAATCAAGAATTCCCTGCCCAGGCCAGCAGCTTATTCCCTCCCTCTCCTGCTCTCTATCTTCCAGGTGAGGGCTCTGAGTACGGCGCAGGTGGGGAGGACGCCCTCAGCAGAATCCAGAGGCTGATGACCGAGGGTGGCATGACAGCAGTGGTGCAGCGGGAGCAGAGCACCACCATGGCCTCCATGGGAGGCTTTGGCAACAACATCATTGTCAGCCATCGAATTCACCGGAGCTCCCAGACGGGCACTGAGCCTGCTGCCCCCCGCGCCTCCTCACCCCAGCCCTCCACCTCTCGAGGACTGCTCTCTGATCCTGGCCAACTGGCAGAGCGGGGCCTAAGCCCCCGGACAGCCTCCTGGGACCAGCCTGGTACTCTTGGGCAAGAGCCACCCCCACCATCTCGGCCCCCTTCCTCCCCTGTTCCCCTTCCCAGCACTGAGGGACCAACCCTGCACTGTAACCTGACCAGTAACAACCACGTTCCCGATGGCGGTGGCAGCAGCAAGGGGGAAGCTGCGGGCCCCAGTGGGGAGCCTCGGAACAGGTAGAGAAGACATGTGCACTGGTGCCTCCCTTGAACCACTGAGCAGAGACTGACCTCACAGCTGACTGGGAACTGGACATACAGAAGAGCCGCTGGCTGCGTCAGAACGGAAGTGTAAGGGTGGGGCGTCGAGAGGAGTCAGTCCGTGGGCATGAGGCAGTTGGATGGGCAAGGCCTGCCTCAGGGGACTAGAACTTTCCAGGGTCTGGAGCCCAGGAGGACTGCAGTGCTGGGTTCGTCATGAACTGAGGAGCTAGTGGTTGTCTGCCATGAAACTCCCTTTTTCCTAGGAACTTGGGTTCAAGAGAGCCCAGAAGGATAACCAGTCTTCCAGATCTAGGCCAAGGCATCCTGCACAGAGGCCAGTGGGGCACTTTTGCCTGTCTACCTGTTGCATGGGCAAAGCCACCAGGAGCCCAAAGACAGGAGGAGTGGCTGCCCCTAGAAACCACCTTCATCTCTTGAGACTTCCAGAGCTCCTCTCTTCATCATCTTACCCACAAAAACAAGAATCAGGGTGGGCCAGGCTCCCAGATTCCTGAGGACAGGGACTTCCTGCATTTACTACTGGGGGACAGCCATGGGTAAGGGGTCAGTCTACTTGCTGAACACAAGATGAGGTCATGAGACTGTGGACAGGCCCTCCTCAGGAGTAGGGGGTGTTGGCTGGCCCATCCAGCTCCTCCTTGCCCCCAAGGGTCCCAGCAGCACGAGTAGGGGTCAGTATTACCTGAGCCAAGGCCAGAGGAGAGGTGAAACTCCAGGTCAGAATGTGAGGTCTTGGTCTGTGATTTAAGATGTTGCATGTGGAATCCTGAACTGTACATGTAGTTTCTAGTGGAGAAAATCAAGGCTTTGATTATTTTGTTTTTAGTATGAAAATGTGATTTCCTTTCTGTTTGTAACTCATCATAGCAACATTTTGGTGGGAGGAGAGGGGATAGTCTGACTGCTAATGAGGGAAACACCAAAGATCTACATCATTAAAATGATACATGCCCCTCGCCCGGCTCATTTCTTTGTTTCCAGGAATGGTGGAGAGGGTGGTGATTGACGTGGGGGGAGAGAGGACTTGGCACAAGTCAAGTCTCTGGGCCACAGTTTCCGGTGCTGTTGTCTGAGTGAGAAGCCCCAGGTATCTTGATGCTTCTCAGAATACCACCACCTTTTGCTTCCTTGGGGCCTGCAGAGTGCTGGGGACACCTTAGAGTGACAGAAATAACAGAAGGTTGTTGATCCCATTGGCTTCCTACCCAGGGCTGCAGATCTGCTGTCAAGAGAGATGTCTGACCGCAGTGCAGGAACTGCAGGAAAGGGTGCCTGCGGAGGTGAAGGGCAGGGAGCACATCCTGTGTGCAGGTCTCTCTAGGAGGACACACCTTCCTGCTCAGGTCTCCCTGTACTTTGTGTCCTCTGAATGGTGGCTGTGCCCATGGACCTTGTCCCTAAGCAAGTAAGAACAAAAGAGGATATTTGGTTCATCTCTTAGAAAGGGAATTCAGAGCACCGCGTGCCTTGAGATCTACTGTGTGCTCAGTTCTAGATGCTTAGGGCAGAGACCAGGATGGTTCTACCTCACCAGAGAAAACCAAACCATCCATTCATCAAAGAAGTCCTTCCTACAAAACAGAAGAGTGGAAGAGTCAGGAATATGAGCATTTTCCCGGGAAACTGTGAAAACACAAGAATTAAAGAGTATAGACCAGGTGCTAAGGACCCTGTATCAGTCACCATGGAGCCGCTCATTTCTGCCAAGGTTTGACCCCGGGTCCTGTGATTGTAGAGCATACATCTCAGTGAATTAACTCCTAGAGGGTGAAGACAACATGTTGGAGATGGGATAGAACTCTGGTTTCTCAGTTGCTCTGGAGAGGTTGCGAGGTGATGACCTTGTAGACTGTTTTAAGGGTCCTCATCACACACCCACATTTCTACTCTCAGAATTGCCACCTTTTTCAGGATCCAAGGAGTGATGCACAAAGAATAAATGCAAAAATCTAACCCACTGACTGAGCCTGTTCTCTCTGAAATGGAGGCAAGAACTGTAGCACTTGCTCTCCGAGACTGAGGAGCATGAGACCTCATTCATAGAAGAATTTTAACAGCACAGACAACCAAGTCCAGGCCTGAAATCTTCAGCTCTGGCCAGCCTAGCCCTTCCAGGGGAGCCTTGCGAGACCAACTTCAGCCTAGAGACCCCCATAGGGAGGTCAGGAGTCCCATCTTCATGCCACCTCTACCTCCGCGTCCCGTTGCTGACTCTCCTTCCCCATCACTCCCCGTCTGGCCGTTGGGAGAGGGTGAAGGAGAGGTGGGACCTGAGTTGTTGGGAAGGAACCAGTTTCTGCTCAGCATTTGGGGTTGACCGGCCTGGGCGCCAGGGCTCTGAGCAGAAGTGGCGCAAAGCTGGGACGCCTGGGCCGTGGCCGCGGCGGAGCTCTCCAAGGTGCTGATCTCCTTTGCACCGCGGACCGCAGCGGCTGACCCCGGAGCCTCCGCCCCAGGCGAGGGAAACCCCAGGTCTGAAATCCACGCTGGATGCTGCTCCGCGAGGCTCGTGAGGCTCGCCCTTGGGGTCTAGTCCCAGGCCCCGCCCCAGGTGACCTTGGGCACCCGACTTCTCACAAGCCACAGTGAGCGCAACCTCCGAGCTGCGGCAGCTGGGCGGTGCGTCCCATCCTGATGCTGGCGGAGCGGGTGCGCGCCCTTCCCGACCTCGGGGGCGGCGGGCACCTCCCGTGGGCGGCTTCTCTCTGCCTTACCGACTCTCGCCGGCCGACCTCCTCCCGCCCCTTCCCAGCCTGGCAGAGCTCCAGCAGAGCCTCCCCCCTCGGGCGAACACGGAGCCCCGAGGCTGCAAATTCCCGGGTCTCTGCCTCGACGGGACCCCGGCTGCCGACTACACTCCTCGTCGCTGGGGTCAGACACTCGCGCCTCCGCAGTCAGATGGCCAGCGGAGCCCTGCACATGGGGACGGGGCGAGGCGCGCGACCCCTTCCGACTCCCCGGCTCCCGGTCCGCGCCGAGAGCTCGACCGGGCGGCCAGCTCCCCTCTCAGCCCGCGAGGGGGCGCCGCGTCCCCATGACAATGCGAGTGCCCACTCCCCTCCCCAGAGGGCAGTTCCCGCTGCCAAAGCGCCCTGGTGGCCGTGGGCGGTGCCCCCGCACGC